GCGATATGCCTTGCTATTTATTATTTTATAGTCAGTCTATATATAGTATATTTGTGAAAGTTCGTCACTTTGGTCGTCTAAAACTTCCGAACCACTTAACTTTCGAATCTGAAAAAAAATAACGGTGGTTCAGAATCATTTAAAGGGTGCATATTTAGGAGTCTGAAGTACCTGTAGATCAATGTTCAGTTTTTCATCTAAACTTGGGAAAGTGCGTCTTCTAAGACGCTATTATAAACAAGTGAGGCTTCCGTTCACAAGCAGAGCGCACCGATCCCAAAATTGACTTGACAATCAATTCTTTTGAGTCTGATCATCGAACGGGTACCCAGCTAGTTACAAGATAATACAAGAAGCTTATCACTCTAGGCTCCTCGGCGGCACTGGACGCAGATTTGCGTGAGATGAATTTATAAATAGCATCTTTTCTAATAATACAAGAAAATCTGGGTTGGGTAAAACAGTAAGACTTGGGCGATTTACTCTAGTTCTGCCTTGTAATAGAAAGTTAGAATTAAATAAACACATTTTGTTTTTGTTTTGTTTATCCTGTTTTGTTTTGATGGTATTGTCCCTCTAGACGAAAATAATGACTTTTGAAAGTCAAATGTATTTAAATTTAAAAGCGTAATGTGTAAATAATCATTTTATTTCATTTTATTCAAAAATAGTATTGTACACCGAAAGAATTGATTCTGATATTTTCTTTTATGTGAATTTCTCTTGTTCTTACTCGAATCAATTTAGGGATATAATTTACAGCGTAATTACAGGAAATCTGGTCACGAACTTGTATTTATTGTACGGATATGACAACCTTTCTACAATGTAAACTTATTGAAGAGGCAGGACCTCCGAATTCAACGTCCATCTCTGATGCAATCGAGCCAAAATGGTGGAGTCAAGCCGTTAAAACTGCCCAAAACAACCCAAATTGGGGATTCGAATCAAGGCTCTGTGGGTGGCCCATCGTGTTGTTATCAACTGAGAATGAGATAATTAATAACGATGTTCCTGATTATGAACACCCAACGAATTTTTTTATTATTTTTTTGGGGGGGTGGGGGGTGGGGGGGGGGAGTAGGTTAAGGAACATGGCACAAATAAAGAAACTAAAAAGAAAATAAAAACGTATGAAATATTTTATTTCTTTAAGAAAGAGAATAGAAAAAAATGGGAAAAGAATACTATACTATAATATAATATAGCCAAGCCAGTAATGTGGTAAAGTTGTAGTTAGTGTGGTCTTGCCGTGAGTCCTGTGAGGCTAGACTATGCCACAGTTGGCAGACAGCACGGACGTCAATGTGGCTGGCCTAACCGCCTAACCACCATGGCGGCCATTGTCTTGTGACGAATCAAGCGTTGCTAAACCTCAGACGGATTATTATTATACAGGGAGTGAGGG